TACTGAAAGAGTGGTTAAACATTGGGACAGGCTGCCCAGGGAAGTGGTTGAGTCCCCATCCCTGGAGGTATTTAAAAGATGGGTAGATGAGACGCTTAGGGACATGGTTTAGTGGGCATGGGGGTGTTGGGTTGACAGTTGGACTCGATGATCTTAGAGGGCTTTTCCAACCGTAATGATTCTATGAAAAAAGAAGGCGTGTGTAATAGGGTTTTTTTAAGCTGATGATGATGATGTTGTTGTTCTTGCTCCGAACCTAGTTCTAACTGCTCCACAAACAAGCCTGGTTGCTGTCAGATGTGCTTCTAAGAAAGCTGGGGGCAGCTCAAAAAATTTAGGTGGCCGCAGCCCTGGGAAGCGCTATGGATTCAAGAAAGTGGAAGGTAGGTCTGAGTATCTGCTGAGTCTTATTTGCCTTTCATTGCGTTTTTCACAGCTTCTCCCCTGGTACGGGTGTCAGTTGTTGAGCATTTCAGTAGGAGGTGGCCAGGGTGCTCTTCCAGGAGAAAGGAAAGGGGAGGTTCAGTGAAACCTCACGATCAAGGGTAGCTGGCGGGAGGGCAGGGTGAGTCAGCCTCCCTCGCAGACGGGCCCACGAGCGGCCAGCCGAAACTGCCTACAGAAAATGTACTTTGATTGCAACGTTGCCTCCCCGGAGAGCCTGGGAGGAGGGTACGCTGTGGGGTACCTAATAACTCAAGTGCACTTTCCCCCCACGCTGTGTTGAAAAGCTGGGCATTTCCAATGTTTACAAAGGGGAGAATGATGAGGCTTAGCAGAAGCCAAAGTACAGATTCTTGCAGCTGAGTGCTTAATAATTATTAGCTTTGCTGATGAAAACATATCAATAATAAACAGTAATAAAACAAATGCCTTCAGCAACCAGAAAACGCTCTGTACCCTAGAGTAACCTTTTCAAAGACTAGAATTGCTCTTTGCCATTGTATATCAATTGCCCTTTATTTCCTGCTAACAGCATTTTTGTTTAGACGCTTTTAACATTTGAAGTAATTTTTCCTTAGAAAATTCCCCCAGAAAGCTGGGTTTTGTAAGTCCTGGAACCATTTGTGTTCTGCCAGGGCTTCGGGGAGCTCTGTTTCTCTGCAGTCTGACTCTGTCACTCTGTTGCAGGTGCTTTTGTGCACGCAGGCAATATCTTGGCTACGCAGCGGTTGATACGCTGGCATCCAGGGGCTCATGTAAGTTGCTTTTCCATCTCTCCCTTGGTTCTCGGAGAACAGCAGCCTGCAACAGAGTCCTGTACTCAGTGCCTCCTCTCCCTCAAGCTAGTTTTTAATGCTCTTCCCTATATGCTATATAATCCTGAAATTGGGTGTCACTACCTGGTATTTCTTAGTCACAGAGCCTGCTCAGAGTCACACCTGTGCCCATATGACTGAGGAAAGGACTGAAAGTTATGGATGTCCCCAAACACTTCTGTGTTCTTGTGCTTCAGGGTGGAATCGGTATCTTCTCCCTTGTAATGAGCACCATTGCGTACTGACCGCTGGAAGCAAATAGCGTGGTCGTCTTTTATTTTAAAATACAAAGCAACAGATGCTGTTGAAGGCAGGCTATCAAACGAGGCAGACCAATGATCAGATCTGCTTTAGTGGTGGACCTCCAGCCTTTGCTTGCTAACACTTCTCATCCTCCCCCAGGTGGGGATGGGCCGTAACAAGACACTCTACGCCCTGGAGGATGGGATTGTGAGATACACCAAGGAGGTCTACGTACCTCCGCCCCGCAGCAGCGAGAGCTGGGAAGTGATCTGTCGTCTACCCAAAGGAGCAATTCTTTATAAAACCTTTATCAATGTTATCCCTACCGCAGAAGTAGGAAGCTTTAAACTGGTCACCATGCTCTGAGCCTCCTGCGTCATGTAGGGACGGGTGGGAAGGAGCAGCTGGGACAGACCACTCCAGCTGGACTGGCATCCGAGGACAGGAATATTCTAGCTCTGAAGATACCAGTTTAGGACTTTGTTTTCTTGCTCCTAAAGCACACGTGGTCGGTGTTCAGGCACTGGGATCACCTGCTGGCATTTGTAAGAGTGTTTAATAAATGCTGTGGGGCTGCTGAAGGTCTTGGCTGTTCATAGAATGTGTTACTTACATATTCATTTAGTATTGAGCTGCCTTACTCTGCAGAACCTGTTCCGTCGTGCTGCTGGATGAGTTCTCTCTACAATCACTCTTACGTCAGTACTTGTCCCACTAATAATTCCCTCTATTCATTTTCAGACATTACTGTTATAGTTGTATCTTAATTCAAAATACTGCAGAACAGATCCTTTTCCACTTGCACCTAACTCTGCATCCCAGGAAGCTAGGTTTTTTTCCTTCTATCTAACTCACCTCAATGATTAACTCAAATATCTGAAAGTGTTCCATTTGCTAGCCATGTGAGGCAAGTTCACACTCGTAAAGCACACTCGTGACTAATTTTAGAGTGCCTGGTATTTGAAGCTCAGCGGCTGGGGGTGTATCGTAAAGCCATAATCCAGAAGACTTATCCTTTTCTCTTCCCCGAGTCATTCTGTGACATTTTTGAGCTTATGTTGCTCGAAAGAAAGGAGCCCAAATGCCCTGTGGCCAAACTGATCTCATTTTATCTACAGGTTTGTAAACAATTTGAGACATTGGCTCTGCAGTAGAAAACAGGTTATCAAAATTGGTGGTGGAAGGACACCAGCGTTGACATTATTAGATTGTCTGCTCTGCAGAAGACGACTAGGTAGACTGGCTCAGCCCCACATGTCCACCTTTGCTTTACGTTCTTTGTGGAGACCACCAGCTATTATTTTGTCCACGCTTCTGTCCTTTCCCAGCTTGCATATCCAGTCACACGGTTCATCTCGGTGGTCGGTATTTGCATACAGTGGGCGACGCAACCCCTGTAGCCTCTCTGAATCTATCTGAAGTCCATACAAAATTGCTCTCAGTCACAGGTGACCGTTACTGTGAGAGCACACAGCGATGCTGTGATGCAGGCTCATTCTGCCGCTCACAGGTGAGGATTCCCACCTGGTACCAAATACACCAATAAAGTAAAACATTTTACAACCTAAGAAGTAAGTGAAGTAGCAGAACGTGACCACTGTCCGAGGTCTGATCCTTGGCACGCCGGGCAGTGCTTGCCTCACAGAGGTATAACACCAGCTGCCTGGAGGAGCTCTGCCTGAGCAGACCTTCACCTTGGCTTTGCCCCTCGTGTAGAAGCAAGCAGCTGGTCCGTCACCTTTGGTAACGGTACGTTTGCCAAAGAAGAGCGAGCGGGCATCCCTGGCTGCTCTGCTCAAGAGTGCGATACCTGGCGGTGGCTCCGTGGTTGTCCTGGTGCTGCGGGAGGGATGTCTCCGCTGGCTGGGTCTGACTTGCCTGTGTCTCGGCTGATTGCGAATCTGGGCGGAGGTCTGAGGTTCGGCTGTTCCCTGCAGACGAGAACGATGCCGCAGGCGCTTCCGTCGCTGACGCCACAGGAAGAAGCAGTACGTGGAGGCCGAGGCCTTACACGTCCGTGTTTCGCTGAGTTTGGCAGCTGAGAGGGGCCTGGAAAGGGTCTGGCACACCACGTCTGTCCAAGGTCTCCGAGCTTATTACTGTTCCTGAGAAAGCTGGAGGATGCCTCAGAGCATGCTCGTAGGGAGGCGGCATCTATCGAGGAGAGAGGAAGAGCATTACAGCTGATCAGAAATAACCGGGAGATTATCCCACCTCTTCTTACAGGGCGGCTGACAGGGCTCACAACCACCGCCAGCCTGAAATTAAATTCCTGCAGTCCTCAGAGCAGCGAGCTGCTGGCTAGATGAACACCTGGAAAATGAGTTCTTAGCACCAGTTTGCGACACAGCAGGGCAGGAATCCACTGGAGAGGCACATTCCACCCGCTCCCCCCTCACACTCCCTGTGCCGGGTTCCTGCTCTTCCCTGTCCCCCTTCAAGGACTTGTCACTACTTGTGACAAGGCCAGAAAAGACTTGGCTTTTGTTAAAACGGAACGGTTGTTGCTTTCCTTTGACCAAGGACCAATTACTGGGATTTATACAAGCACCTCCAGACCAGGCTTTCTACCCAGGTTTTAGCAAGCGCAGCAGCAGTGAGGAACCTCTGGGCTGTCGTTACGTTTATGTTGTCAGAGCTGGGCTAGCTTTGTCCCCATAACAAGAGACAGGAGTGGCACAGGGACGTCGTGGAAGAGCTCCCATGGCAGTTCCTCAACCACTCGTCCTTGGGGGCTTTACTCTCCTGTGCCCTCGGTGCTCTGGTTTCAGGGCAGCTATCATTAGTTACAGCTCCAAATACCGAGCAGCAAGTGCTGACTATGCCAAACTTTACGATGCAGCTTTAAGAGCCCAAAATCCAGGTAAATCGGTGAACCTTTAGTGCTCTGCTCTGGGTTTCAAATGTTTCTGTTCCGCTGTAGTCAATGAGGTCTCTCTGTTCAACAGGAGTCTCTCGGGCCGCTGCCACAGGACCTACTTGGCAGACGCACTCGCTTCTCTCTATTCTATGGCAGGAGTGCAAGTCTTAAATGCCGTAACAGGCAAAGCCTCCTGCTTATAAATAAGCCATAAACACTTCAAGGTAATAGCGAGGGGCCTCCCAGAGGTGTCCTGCAGGGAGAAGGGAGCAAGAAACCGTGGAAGCCTTACAGATCTAAAAATAACATTCCCAGCTCGGGCTTGTACCAAGCAGATGATCCGAAGGGCCTGCCCTTCCAGCAGCAGCTCTGCCCTGCCTCCTGGCACAGGCGTTTCTGCAAACGCACGGGGGAGAGATCGATCATTAACCAGCACAGATGTACACAAAAGGAGCCTCCTGGTACACTTCGTGCCCTTCCCCGAGATAAAGGCTATCAGAGAAAGGCAATCGCAGAGAACAGAGTCCTTAGCTACTGCAAATTGCTGAAGCAAGACCCAGATACAGTCCGGAGGGGGGACTGCCCCCCGGGCCTCTGCCAGCACCCTCGCGCAGGGGAGGGAGAGCTCACCTCCTGGGAGGGCTCTGCCCACAGCCCAAACCTCTCGGCAATCATCTGATGGATTTCCCGCTGGCGATCTTTCTTCCGCACGCTCTCGTAGCTTGGCAAGCGGGGCTGCTCCCAGGAAGGGAGCTGGTAGCTGCCGGGAGGTCCGACGCAGAACAGCTCGTCTCCCTACAAATGCCCAGCCCGGAAGAGAAAGGTCAGCGCGGCAGTGGCTCTCTTCGCTGGAAGCTCATGGCCTGGTGCCACCTCAAGTTACTTCAGGGTCCAAAGTTGTGGGTGCCCTTCCTTGGACCCCGAGAGAGGAAATCCTCCCTCCCGGGAGGTAATTACACCACGACCTGCTTTGCAAATCCCAGGCCCCAAGGGATCTGCCTGGCACTTCATGCCCGAACACCTCAGGGCACCGTGGTGTCCTCTGCAGTATCCCTGCCCCCCACGCCCTCCCCCAGGTTTTTACATACCAACAGCACTTCCCAAAGTTGCTCCTGCTGTCCAGCACCTTCTCCCTATGCCCCAGGTCCCCATAACCGGGATCTTTGCTACCGTTTCCCTCCCAGCTCCCATCAGGGACCCAGCCGTCACCTGCACGCCGGGGTTCTCGGCAGCGCTCTCCAGCCGTGACGCTCCGCACTGGGGACCCACCAGCCGCTGGCTGCTGCTGAAGTAGGGCGGGGGGCAGTCCTGTAACAAGGGGTCAGGGAGGAGGGCGTGAGCAGAGCCGAAATCCCTCACATCCTGCCCGGCAGCGAGCGGAGCTCAGCCAGCTCACGCGGGACGGCCTGGGAAGCGGGACTCTGCACGGGGAGGGGGGAGAACCGCTACCTCTGCCCGTTTGGCTCCTGCGGCTCTTGCCGCTGGCAGCCAACCCCCCCCTGCCTGTTTACCGATGCCGACAGCTCGGGCACATCCTCACCGGGCGGCGCGGGACCCGCTCGGAGGGCCCAAGCCAGCTGGCGCCGCTACGCAGCGCAGCCGGAGGGACAGCAGCCTGGGCCCAGCGCAGGGTTTCATTCGGAGTCGGCAGAACCATCTCCCTTTGGGGGACAACAAAAAACCAACCCAACTCTTCCGCTAGTGTAGATAAGAGCTCCGTCACGTGCTCAGGGTTACAGAATTTGTAAACGCTTATCTACCGAGGTAGTCGTTTCAGGATAATGTAGCAAGGAAATCTGCAGAGCACTAGCTGTCCTGCTCCCGAGCAGTCTTGCTCCAGTTAAACTCGATTCCCTGTCAAGGTGTTGAGCGACAGCAGAGATCCCTCTCGCGGAGAGCAGCCCCTCGAGCCAGAGCCAGGACTGGAGCCGTGGGACGTTCCTCGCTCTCAGAAAAGCCCCATCTCTGCCAGCAGAAAACAGTCCAGAGACTCCCAGAGCAGCCAGGGACTCGCAGGGGGAACTGCGAGTGACGGGTTCACTAACAACCGAGGCACCGTTCGCCTCGGCCCTACGGCGCAATTACAGGAGCTGCAGGAAACGCGGCTGGCTGGGGCTGCAACTATTTGTTTTAATAACTGATTACCAAAACCAGCGCAACTACACCTGCCTGGAAGCTGCCTCACACCACTACAACCGCTTCACGTTTTCTGGTGGAAATACATCCTAGATACGTTCCCTTTCCATATATAGTTCTTCGCATCCACATCCATCTGTCCACGCAGCCTTTTGCTAAAGGCAAGATGCCTTCTCCTTTAACCACCCGCCCACCACGAGCCAGGCCCAAGCCCGGCGAAGGCTCCGCGGCTCACGGCACACCCTGCGCAGCCTCGGGGAGCAGCTCTGCGGGGCCGGGAGCGCGGCGTCCCACGCGTGCTGCGGACAGGGAGCGGGGAGGAAGAGGGGGAAAGGAGCAGAGGCAGCGAAGCGGGCCGGGGACACCAGCGGCGCAGCACATTCCCACTGCGGTTTCTGCTGGGGACTTCCCAGCCCGTGCCGGACTATTAAATTTGCCTTTCGCGGCACAAGGCTCTCTGTCCCCTGCTCGCCGAGGCCGGAGGTCCCCTCTTCTCCCAGGGACTCTGCAGCAGTAGCCACAGCCCTCCCCTGAGCAGCCATCCCTGCGGCCTCTGGAAGCCGAGCTTTCCCCAGGCAGCCACCACCGCAAAGGCAGCGCTGGCTGAACCACGCTGCTCTTTGCCCATCACCAGTCTCCCACTTGAAAGCCAGCCCCAGGAAATTACAGACGCACGCGAAAGGGCTTTGTCTCTCGCCGCTCCGCACCTGGGAGCCGTGCACAAGAGAGCCAGTTGCCGGGGATGCGAGCGGCATTGTCTGCCTTTGCCCTGAGCTTCCAGCCCCCTTCCCCGCTGGGCTCCTTCCCTGTAAAACAGAGCCCGGCCCCGCACGCAGCAGTGCCGGGGGCGGAGGACACCCCTCCCGGGCTGCACGGGGAGCTGGGGAACCTGCTGGTCTCGGGCCTTGGAGATATTACCCCGGCGGCACAGCCAGGCAGCGTTGGGTGGGTGGATCTCCGGGGTAGAGTGGGAACGAGGAGGAGGCAGAGCCCGGCTCCGCTCGGAGGTCCCGCGTCCACCAGCGAGCCCAGCCAGGCTGCAGGAGGGGAGCCCGGCGACGCAGCCTCGCAGACCCCAGCACAAGGGAAGAAGAGCTCGGGGGGCAGCCGGGGACTCGCAGGCAGGAGGAGGAGGGGGAGGACACTCACATACTGGCTGGGGGTCTGGAAGAAGCGGCAGGAGCAGAGGAACTGGCAGCACATGGGGTCCCGGTGGTACAGGAGCAGCAGCAGGATGAGGACCGCCACGATGAAGACGGAGGGGGACACCGCTGCCCGGGGAAGGGAGAGGAGGC